GTTTGCGGATTTTGGAGTCTTCGTCACTACTTGGACATGTGTTGCATCATCTTTATATTGGCATGTCATTCAAGAAGGTTGTAGTGTCATCGTCAGGAGTGACTTGGATGAAAGGCTTTATCCTTTCCACAAGTTTAGCTTATGTAATCTTCTAAAATATTTTCACAAATCTTTAAGCATCTATGTTTTAAAAGATGTACGTAACAATCAAGGGGTATCTTGTCAATAACAATCTTTGAGGGTAGACAATGTATGTATTGACATGTAAGAAGTAGAATAACTCAAGTTGTTTTTATATCCACCGGAGCATTGGCAAAATGAAGGGTAAATTCATCGAAGCGTCTCGTAATTGGTGCAAATTCACCATAGAGTCTTGTAATGGGACAAATCAAGGTTAATACATATTTTGGAACTATATACAGACTAGGGGGCTCCTATATTAGACATCGTAACGGGTGCTTTATGAATGCACCAAAGTATTACTCAAAACTCATTAGCTTAACACTTTACTCCCAATGCAGTGCCCATCATGCCGATCTAAATAAGAGTGCAACAAGATATAAAGCATTTTCAAAAATATATTAAAGCAAAATTAAGATAAGTTAAAATTATACTCAAACAGTAGGGATGTGGGAGGGAACCGGTGAAGATGGGGTAAGAAGGCATGGGAAGCTCCATGATCCATCTCTAAAACTGTAACGACTTCGAGCTCAGAATTTTGCAGTTTTTAAGTCCATCAAAATGGAACATCCGGATTCAGTCTTAGAGGGGACTTTGAGTTTAGGCGTTTACACGCTTTCAAACCATTCTCTCTCTCTCTCTCTTCACCGTAACTCCCATATACCTTCACTATCTCCCTCTCTGCAGTGAATCAATTTCAGGAAAATGAAAAATACCAAACAAGAACCGGTACGACCAGACAAGAAACATCATTTCCAAGTTGAAAATCCATCTAGGAATCGGTAGAGACCAAGTCTATTACAAACCAAAGTTCTATCGATCACATCCTACTTCAATTTTCTAGAATATCTCAACAGCATGACAACTACAATTTATGGGAGCTAAAAAATAACCAGCAGATAAGATGCAAAGAAGAAAAGAAGAAAACAGCAAGCCAAAAGATATTCTACTCTCGCGGGAGTAGAATTTATTCCCATTTGGAATTAATTTTAACATCCTAAAGTTTGGGGACTTAACCTCTTCAACCCTGAGATTAATCTCAATAAAAAAAATCTTAGTTGTACCCTCTATCCACTTGAAAAAAATAATGTCTCAAGATTGAAAAGAAACCATCCAATTTACGAAAGAATGCAGTTTCTATAAAGCTAGGCTTTATGATAACAAAGTAAAGCCTTAACTCAAATCCTCATTTGGAAAGCACTTTGGAGATTGAAAATCTCTACGATGGCTCTAAAATCAATGTCCAGCACCAACTGCAAATTGGAAGTTCAAAAAATTGTACAGATATTGTGGACCTATGAACAATTTATTTTAGGGTGAAATGGACGGTTTAGATAATGTGCATGCAAAGTTCGCGTGGCTGCTAGAATTGAAGTGGATGTCTCCTGTGGTTAGGCAGCAATTCCCCTCCCTACAGTCACCTTCTGCCTTTACGCCATTTCATTCTGCAAACGAGTTAGGGAGGGCCCCAGCCATGCTTCTGATAGAAATGAACTTTACGTCTAATTCATCCCAACCTTCCCCACCGTTCACTCTCCTATCTTGCGCTAGTGCTTACTTAGCTCTGCTCCTTGCTTAGCTTGTTTGGCCCTACCCCACCGACCGTTAGCCTCTGCTTCTTCAGATGCCCTATCTTCTCTACTGCTTTAACCTACCCCACGAGGGGAAGGGTTGTACAGTTGAGAAGGGACGGGCACTCCTATCCCTTGATAGCTCACCTAGGCGGCTCGTGGTGGGAGACGGAGAAAGCACCCCCCGTATCGTCCTCAGTTGCATCTCTGATAGTAGCATATTGTTGACCTCCATTGCTATCGCTATCCTATTTCGCCACCGCGCAACAACTTTCACGCTAGCGCGCTCTTCCGTTGCTATGTTCTTCGCACTTCACGTTAAATTTGGCTGTCTTCTCTATGAGTTGGATCTCTTTGGAGCCCCTTGATAGTAGTTAGCTCTGCTTTTTGCTTCATAAAATGAGTTTGCCTTGCTTTTTCTTTCTCAGCCAAGACTATGTCTCTACTTTTGAGTTCTCGTTGAGGTGCTAACGAATCAGAGGAGGAACTTTCGCTCGTGGTAGCGGAACAACCACCACTAGATAAGGCACCACTTCCCACCCATAGCTACCGCATCGGAGCAAGCTCGGCCTTTCGGAGCTTAGGAGCTAGCTAGATCAGCGTCCACGTCAGCAGCAACCAGACTGGAACTTCCTCGAATCTGCTTTCGCTTGATTCAAACCAACTTCTCCTTTTTCTGCTACTTCAACTAGAGCAACAGAAGCACGATCTACTTCAACTGGACATAAAATTGATTTTGCAACTTGAACTGGAATATATACTATTTTTAGGATTTGATATCCTATTTTTTTTTCTCAACCACATGATCAAGGCCGAGATGATCGAATCGAAGTTTTCCAAGAGGCACCCGGAATTACCAATCGAAGAACCCCTTATCTACTTTCTTTGAGAAGGTGGAAGCTTTAGCTTTCACATTCTAGTGATGGGTTCTTCACAAACATGAAATTGCTCGAAACCCCGTGGCTTGTTCTATATCAATCATTGGAAACAGAAGGACCACTCCAATTGTCACCTTGAACGTCTCCACATCCTTCAAAGAATCCTCGGTAAATCCTCCCACTTTGATTGTAATTATTAACATGGGGCACGTTCAATAATTTGTGGCATTTGTTTTCTCTGAGTTGCCATTTCCTTGCTTCATGTGTTGATGCTGCAGCATAGATAGGGCAGGCTTCACGAGGTACGGATTAAAGAGGGAAATGGGGAGTTTATGTGAAGAGAGAGAGAGAGAGAGGGACAAAGGGGGTCGTAGAGTGAGAAGGGGGTTTCTTCGCGGCTGAGGCTCTCGATGAAGGGGTCTTTCTTTAAAGGTACTTTTGGTTTGCGCATAAATATTCTTAATGGAAAATCAAATGGTAAATTCGCCGGGTAAAAAGTAAGCAAGGGTTGTTAAAGGTACCTTTTGTAAAACTTGGACGGAGTACATGGGCATTTTATGGGTTTTTATGAGACTGTAATAATGGGAACTGCATTTTTCCCATTACTATATTTTTATAAAAATCGTAAGGAAATGATTAGGGCAAGCAATGGGCCAGGTGACCCGGCCCTAAAAAAAGTATGGCCTAAGCCACAAACTTTAGCCTGAGGGCTAGACTAGGCCCTCTTTTATTTCTTGTTTTATCATTTATTCTGTCTTCATTGTTTTTGGCCCGGCCCAGCCTAGCCTTAACAGGCTAGGGCTAGGCCGTCTCTATTGGGACAAGGCTTAAGCTGTTGTCACCCTTAGAAATTATCAAGGGAAAATTATAAAAAATACCCCAAGACCATACTTTCTATTCAACTTACCCGCAACCTAATTTTTTCTCACTTTTTTTCCCAAGACAAACTTTCTATGCAAATACCTCAAGCGAAAAAGTTCATGCAAATACCCTTCCCATACACAAAATTCATTTGGGCCAGATTTGACATTAACTTTTGGACCCCACTTGCACATTGCGGGAGTGCACCATCATATTGCCGGAGCGCACAAGTGCTAGACCGCCATAAGACAACTACCGGACCGCCCTTTACATAGTGCTGGAGTCCTGAAATCCAATAATAACTGTTGTCGGACCATCCTTTGCAACTGCCGAACCGCACTTTACACAATGCCGAAACCCTACTGCCGGACCTCACTTTATATAGTGTTGGAACCCTACTGCTGGACCGCGCTTTACACAGTAAAGAACACTACTGTCGGACCGCATTTATACAGTGCCAGAGCCCCTATTTTGGTGGGATAGAGGAGATGTTTTGGTGTGATAGAGGAGAGAGCATAGGTAAGATAAAATAAAAGCAAGGGAATGTAATTTAGGCATTTTTTTATTTTTTATTTGGTTGGGGCGGTATTTGCATAGAAAATGTATTTTGAGAAAAAAAGTGAGAGAGAGTTAGATTGGGTAAGTTACATAGAAAGTGTAGTCTTGGGTTCCCAATTATCAATATGTTAATACAAAAATTTGAAGCTAAGACAAATAACTTCTTTTAAGTTTTTAACTTTGTCTATGTTTCTAGTTTATGTAATTTTCTGTTTCAACTCCTCAGATTTTACTGAGAACTGTATATGGAAAACCTAACTATTGAAATCTCCGACAACTAACTCAAAGAGATTCTTAAGAATGAGGTTTATGACTACCGGTTAACCATCACTAAGGGACCCCACGTGCCACTTTGTGACCACATAATAGAACCCTTCCACACGATAAAGACTTGCTCCATTATCAAGGCTGGTGAAATACGGTGGAATATACAGTCACCTTGTTTGCATTCACCCTGAATTGATGTAGAGGTTCTAACTTTGATGATGCTAAAGGTAGCTGTGAGAGCCAACAATTAAAGATCCTGCTGCAATATTTATGCATATATAAGACTTAGAAGAGCTCAAATCCCACTAATGGCAAATGAGCGTGTCAAACGAATATCTTTGAAACGCTCAAATTGACTGCAAAATGAGGAAGATGAATGGATCCTTGGACCATTACAACAGCTGAATGAGTAGTGCATGGTAGGTATGGCAGACGGTATTGCCTGACATTCATTCTCACAGGCATCGTTTCTGATTGATTATCTCCCTCATTCAAGATATTGGGTTCCAACAAAGGGACACTAGTACGGGTAAAATCTAAGCGACCATCATGACCATGCTATTGCCTTGACTGTACCTTTCTTAACCAAGCCAGAAACATGTCGAGAGATCGGGAATGAAAGACTTAAAACCTATCATGGTGTCAGAGCTCAAGAGCGTAATTAGTTCATGCAAGTGATCAAGGATTTACACAGAAACTTACTACGTCATAAAAATACTTAGGCTATCAGAGTTTTTGTACTTCACTCTCTCCCGAAAACACAAATAAGCATGCATGCACGTACACGCGTGTCTCGATATTCTATTCAAGATAATGCTTGAATTCATTCTATAAAATGGAATTCGTTGAAGCCAAATTCAGACTACACCTGGTTGCCGCCATGCACATTATGGTGCAGATATGCCCACTGATTCAGAGATATTTTAAACAACACTTACGGAGCTTCACACATGAATAAAAAAAGCATGGAACCCCCATGCTCTTTCTAGTACGCACCTCAAAACCATGTGTGAATCTTCAACCAACTCCAAATGCAATCTTCTGAGCTGAATCTGCCATCATGGAGGGATCCACTTTCCAGCTGTGAAATCTCTATAGAATGCTGACCGCTTTGAAACAACATAAAACACTGCATAAAAAGCCCAAAATAGAGATGACACAGGAACAAACATGAAAATATGCGTGTAAGAAATTTAAGAAGAGCGAAATATACCTGGAATCCCAGGGATCACATAGTCAGGCTGTTGTATGACATCATGAAGTGTTTTCTTCTCATTCACCTTTATCCATTTTCCTGAAGTAAAACAGAATGAACTAAGATACAAAGGGTTCTGAATCCAGTAAGGCCTAGATACAAAAAAGTACATTCCATGATGATACAAATGAAGCTTCAAATTTACAAAGTGAAGGTCGAAGCATAATGGGTGATTTGATTCGAGTAGCATCAAGGGCCAAGTACATTCGATGACATCAAGGGTTAACGTGCAGTGTGGACCTAATACAATACTGGTTAGGAGGGGCGATTTGATTCTAGTGGAAGGCCCAAAAGGATATGGCTGGAAGTAGTGAGAAGAGATATGGTGACTTATGGTCTGACTAGTAGCCAACCCCAAATAATTGGGATAAGACTCAAATGATGATGAAGGTAGAAGCATAACAATAATATAATACCTATTTGTGGAGCTCTTAATATATTTACACAATTTGAATAGATATGTCTTGACAAATTAAGTGTGACACCACCTTTCACATTTTGCTCCTAAAACAAGCTAGGTTTGGGTCCTCTGAAAATTTCGTATTATGGTCAATACTTCAATCCAAAATTTCTTTTGAGAATATGCACCCAGACAATGGTTTTCATCTTAAACATACGATGAATGCATACGCCCAAGATTTTTCATAGATGATTAGAAATTTTCCTATATTGTTTCTTGAGTTAGTTCTTTGAAAACTAAGAGAGGTTAAGCAGAAAATGACCACCTGTGAATTACCTCAACATGCATTTGGCAAGAGTAATGAAACACATCGATTGCATTACATATTGTACCACATAATACACAGTTGTATAGGATAAGATGTTAGATAAGCTACAGGCTTCCACAAATTATCACATGCATTACCACCAGAATTGAATTGTCATCACACAATTCATCATAGAGGTGTAGTGTATATATATATATATATATAGGAGAGTGATTTCATACAATGGTCGTATAATAATATAATCAATGTTCAAAAAAACGGATTCAGGCGCCTAGACGGTTTGGGTGCCTGGCCGCCTAGGCGGGCGCTGAAGGACAAGGTGCCCTCACCAAAATCAAAACCCCGCCCCCACCCCAAATATAAAAAATTGGGGAGTTCTTAGGGCATAGTTTATAGCCTTAGGGAGTTTTAGGGTAATTTTAGAGCCCCAAACTCCTCGTGATCATGAAATAGATAAAACTATTATGGTACAACAAATTTGTAACATACATAAGATTAAAGAATTAAGTCACTAAGATACTAACTATTACTTTACAATAAGACTTAAATGAATAACTGAATAAAGATAAATCTAACATGGTAAGGGGTCTATTGATAATAGAAGAATTCTATTGAAATCATGAGTTAAATACTAAATTTTCAACTATCTAAAATCCTTAACGACAGACGGAAACATAACAATTTTATTAAATGCGGAAATACCAGTTTTCAAATAATCAAATGTCACCTACTCATAAAACTTATAGACGCAACAAGTCACTTTGAGATGGATGTGTTGCTACCGTTGCAAGAGTGAGACCAAGGTCAATGGCGTTTAGTTAGAGCTTATGTATGAAGAAAGAGAACAATGAGTTTTATTTATGGAGAGAGGGAGCATGAAGAGAGAAAGCGGATGCTATGAGTTTCATACGAATTCATGCTAATGATTTCAATGATATTTTGAATATACAATACTGTTGTTTCCTGATGGTTAGTGATAAAGAGTTTCAGAGATACTTCAAGTATACAAGTGGACCTACCCGATACGCCGGTAGGGATTATGTGGACTCATTCAGTACGCCGGTGAGATAAGAGTGAACCTACCTACTACACCGATAGGGATTATGTGGACTCATCTGGTACATCGGTGACATATGAGTGGACCTACCTAGTACGTTGGTAGGGATTATGTGGACCCATCCAAGACACTGATGGGGTATATAAAAGACATACTTGGGACGCCGGTAGGGTATTTGTGTAATCCTTTGGATTATGTTCAACTGTGTATTTCTGTTAAAGAATTTGAACCGTTATCCATATATGCTCTTCTTCATATTATTTCAATATGCATTCCTTAGAAAATATCTATATTTTTTCAACCATCATTTTTAAAGATTATAATGGTCACTTACTGAGTAGCCAAACTCATCAAACTATTGTGAAACCTTTTCACAATAATTGCAGCCTTATTGTTCGAATGTACAGCAGGATTAGCTTTGGAGATATTTGTAGTCACGGTTAAATTCACCTTTGTAACATTTGTTCTATCAAAATTGTATATATATGGATCTTCATGTAATTATAAGTTATGAGTAGACTTTGTACAAGTTTGAAAATTCCTAAATGGAAAATCAGTTATGTGCAATATATAGTAAAAATTCGGATTCTGTTTTATTTATACATTAATAATAGACTGTCACACTTCAGGAATATTAGTATTATAAAACTTGCAGTGTGACAATGATAGTATGAGAGCAATAGGTTTATGATTCTTAGGAAATCTGAGTAGGAATTTTGTGATATACTCTAAGTTATACTTATTGTATGAACAGATAATTACGATGTCAAGATCCCGTAAGACTGGTGCTAGCATGGAGGGAATTCATAAAGCCTTGTAGAGTATAGTTGCTCTTATGTAGCATCAGATGGAAAACAATAATCCACCTAGGCAGTCAATTACAGGAAATAATGACTGTAATATCGAACAATTTAAGAAATTAAACCCAACTCCCTTTAAAGGTGCTTCAGATCCACTAGAAGCCGAGGGATGGATTATGCAATTGGAGGAAATATTTGAAGTAATATAATTTCCTGATGATAAGAAGGTCACCCTGGCAGTTTTTACGTTGGAAGGTGAAGCAAAACATTGGTGGCGGATGGCAAAGAGAGTATTGGTCCCAGAAAACAAACCTTTGACTTGGAAAGAATTTCGAGAAACATTTAATGAAACATAATTCCCAAATTTTATTCGAGATCAGAATGAAATGGAATTTTTGGAATTAGTCCAAGGGAATAGGACAGTAGTACAGTATGAGGCCAAGTTTACTGAATTGGCCAGGTTTGCCCCACATATGGTCACTGATGAGGCAAGAAAGGTGAAAATGTTCGAAAGAGGCCTCAGACCAGCCATCAGAGGTAGAATATCTGCCCTAAAATTAAGAACTTATGCCGAGATAGTGGATTGAGCCCAAATTGTTGAGAAAGACTGCGAAGATTACCAAAAGAGGAAAAACAAGAGAAGTCAGGTTAGACCCACATCATCTAATTGACAACAAGGAAAAGAATAAAAAAGGGCAAACAAAAGGCCAAAGCTGACGTCATTTCAAAACCCGTCAGAGCCTTATAAGAAATGTGGGAAGAAGCATGGGTTAACACCCTATTATTGAGAAACCGGAGCCTGCTTCAAATGTGGGAAGCTGGGGCACAAGATCAAAGATTGTCTTGTTATGCAAGTACAACAACACTCAAAGCATGGCGAGGCAGCTCAGAAACCTAGAATGAAAGGAAGAGTATTTACAATCACCCAGCAAGATGCCCAAGCTTCAAAATCGGTGATTCAAGGTAGTCTTACTATCTTTCAAGATATAGTTCATGTTTTGATTAATCCTGGATCTACCCATTCATTTGTGTCCCCACACTTTACACACCACTTAAAAGTAGAACCAGAACAATTGGAATACATTTAGCAATAGCCACACCTATGGGAAACTCAATTGTTACCAATCTAGTATACAAATCTTGTGTAATAATGATAGAAGAAAAGGAACTGCTGGTGGATTTAAAACTTTTAGAAATTCAAGATTTTGATGTGATCTTAGGCATGGATTGGCTCTCTGCCTACCATGCAAGTGTTGATAGTTACAAGAAAATAGTTATCTTTTGCATTCCGAATCAACCGGTATTTTACCTGGAGGGTGTCAAGGAAGCCTCCCCACCATATTTAATCTCCTCCATTCGAGCTAACCGCCTCCTTCGAAAAGGGTGTCAAGGCTTTCTTGCCTATGTTAAAGAGGATAAAAAGGAAAAGATGAATTTAGATGATATTCCGGTTGTTCGGAAATTTCCTGAGCAATTGCCATGTTTACCACCTGACAGGGAAATTGAGTTCTTCATTGAGTTGCTTCCCGGGACTGCTCCAATCTCTAAAGCCCCTTACCGAATGGCACATATGGAACTTAAAGAACTTAAACAACAATTGCAAGAATTACTACATAAAGGTTTTACCCGACCTAGTGTGTCACGTTGGGGTGCTCCGATATTTTGTTAAAAATAGAGATGGGTCCATGAGGTTGTGTATTGACTGACTACAGACAGCTAACCCATGTGACTGTGAAAAACAAGTATCCACTACCTAGAATTGATGATTTATTTGATCAATTACAAGGATCACAAGTATTTTAAAAAATTGATCTCAGATCTCGGTATCATCAGCTTAAGAGAAGTGATGATGTTACAAAAACTGCCTTTAGGAGAAGATATGGCCATTATGAATTCTTAGTTATGCCTTTTGGATTAACCAATGCCCCAGTTGTATATATGAATTGATGAATCTTCTCTTTAAGCCCTTTTTGGATAAGTTTATTGCAGTATTCATTGATGATATTCTAAGATATTCCAAGAATCAAGAAGAGCATGAGCAACATGTAAAGGTGGTATTGCAAATACTAAGAGAAAAAGAGTTGAATGCCAAACTAAGTAAATGTGAATTTTGGCTAGAACAAGTGCCATTTTTAGGGCATGTAATTTCAAAGGAAAGTTTATCGAGATGAGAAAGTAGTTAAGATTGACGGCCAAAAAATACCAAAAAGAGCGCATTTTATATATATTGGGTCAATAATCTAGTAAAATGGAGAGATTGAGGTACATGTTGCACATAGAATTAGAGCGATGTGGGTGAAAGAGAGATGTGCAACCAGAGTTTTATGTGATCGCTGCATACCAACAAAGTTGAAAGGCAAGTTCTATAGGATAGTTGTGAGATGAGCTTCTTTATGGGCACAACGTTGAGAGGTCAAGAAACAACATATCCATAGAATGAATGTAGCTGAGATGAGGATGTTGAGATGGATTAGTAGCAACACACGACGGGATAGAATTCGAAATGAATACATTCAAGAGAATTTAGTTTGTGGCACCAATAGGCAAAAAGATGAGAAAAACCAGAATTAGGTGGATTGGCCATATGCAGTGCCCCAATGCAGCACCTGCTGAGAGGTGCGAATTAGATCAAATGGAATGCTGAAAAAGGGCAAGTGGTAGGGCCAAAAGGACATGGTAAGAAGTAGAGAGAAAAGATATGTGGACATATGGCCTCACTGAAGGTATGGCCCTTAATGGAGCAGAATGACGAACTAGGATTTATGTAGCCGACCCCAATTAGTTAGGAAAAGGCTCTGATAACAATGTTCTCAGTAATCCACAGGAAATCACTTCATATTGCCACCATGCTTTGGGTGGAAGCACCAAATTTTGGCTGTATGAAGGAGAGTGGGGCCAAACCTAGCACTGATTGAGGATACGTGTAGCTAAACTGGTGAGTTGGAACACAGGGGTGGAGGTTTTAGTGACTTTAAAATAATTGCAAAACATGTTCTTCGTTTTAATAACTATAAAAGTTTATTTTATTTTTTTTGGTTTTTTTATTTATTTATTATGCCAGATCGTCAAATTCGCCCAATCGGGATCATCGATAAGGTCAGAATCGGTGGGTGGACAATCCAACCAACCGATCAATGTTTTAAAACACTGATATCGATAGAAAAACTTTTTTATCAGAAAAATTATCTGATGGAAAAGCTAAAGGAAGATTATGTAGGTAATTCATTTAGGGTGACAAAGTCCATGGGGCCCCTGACGCAGACTAGAATCAATTGTATTGGAAAGGTGAGAAGCAACTCAATGTTACGTAATCAGAATGTTTTCATTATACTCTTCATTCAAAAAAAAAATTGTTTGCATTGGACCGTTCGTGTCCAATTTCTAAATGCATACCATAGGTCTTCTTCCTAGGAAATGTGAAATTTTATGTCATCCATGGCTTTAAAATAATCACATCAAATGATTAAAACATTCTTTTTAAGTAGTCACGGGAGAATTAAGCAGCAACGTAGTATGCCATTACTCCAATAATGGAGTCCAAAAGTTTCTGAAGGGGAATGAACAGCCAATCTACATCAGATGATTGGATCCTGCTTGGGATGCAAGGGATCTCCACCAGATTTCTTCAACAATCAATTTAACATGGGCCTCATCCGTTTGAGGGTGACCCCACAAAAAAGGAAAAAACAAGGCCCTCATCACAGGGCAATAAAACAGGCAACCATAAAACAGGTGAAACACAAAAAGGATGCACGTATGTGTCGTGACCTAATCCAATATGCACATGAACCAGTCCTGATCACTATGATAATTTTTACCTATGCTTGTTTTGACAACAATTCGGAGACCTATCAAGTCATATTCATCCCAAATCAGGTGAAGCACAACATAAAACTCATTTATTAATGAAAAAGGCATCAGTGTGAAGGATCTCAGATCTAGTTCAAAATCATTCAGAAAAAAAATAAATTACTAGTTTGATGATACAGCCACTGTAAATGGCCCAGAAAATGATTTGGGCTTTTTAAAGAGTATTATTCCCAATAGCTAATGACTAATCAACTGAGTTAACTTCAGGCACTAATTTTCAAAAACCAGAGTTTAAAAGCTTGAACTTGGTGGCCAACTCTATTACTGCCAAAACCAAGTTGACAAGCTGAACAGTAAACTAGGGAAAGAAAAGATGTCCCAGGTGGGTTTAGAACCTAATTTACCATCAAAGCAGAAAAGCAATCCTACCACTCCTCTAAATGACATCAATGTGACAAAACAACACATAAATATTATATACTGCTAAAAATTCAGGCAAAACTAGCTTTTAATTGATAAAACAAGATAAGTGGGAAAGTTCTGCAAGTTTTCCTGAGTCAAAACTGTGTTTTCACTGTTTCGAGCTATTACACAACCAATGATGCCTATTCAGCTGTTTCACAGTTTGATTTGATAAAAGAAAAGATTTGTGGTTTTGAAATGCTCAATAGCAGCCATAAATGCACTCCCCAAAGGAACCTTTCATGTTCAATGTCCAGAAAGAAAGAAATAGTTCTGGCCATTTGACTTGACAGATATTGCTTGGATGGGTCTACCATTGTCAAGAGAGTAAACAAGAAGAAACAGGAAAAGTTTAAGATTTGCACAGACACAAACACACACACAAAATCTATCATTTTTGCCAGCAAGAATACATGTAACTTTGGCAACTAAATGTGCTTAAAAGAACAATAGTGCAGAAAAAAGATGATCTTTCAAAAACTCCAAAGTAGCCCAAGACTACCACACCCATCAAATATTGCCGCAAGAAAAACAGTACAACTTGCAACACGGTGGTTTTCATATCCAAAGATTACATGTGAGCAGTGCAGTAGACATTAGGAAGCTATTGGACATACATGTGCAGAAATAACAGTTTGAACCAAAAAAATGGAAGGGAAAAGAAATAAGAAAATCTCCTAACAAAACTGACCAAAAATCCAACAATAATGAAAGTGAAACTTCAACAAATGGCCAGTATGTTCTGTGCATTTAAAATTAAGTGTCTTTTGAACCTTAAAAGGGCAGCATATGTGCAAACCTACCAAAATATAATAGGGTCTGGGTCTGCAAGTACACTAAAATTGTGATATCATTTCAATGGAAGTCCACATCTGGATAAACTGATTTTAGATGACTTGCATTAAGATGCATGCTGGCACATTTGGTATGATCATGATATGATGAAGCAAACGAGACAAACATGTTAATGCATCACCTCACACATAAATGTTTTTCAATGTCATGTATAGATCTACAATTTTTATGAGAATCGGATCCCTCCAACCCTCAGATTTGATAGATTAATGATTGAAAATCTTGGGCTTTCTTTGGACCAAATCACTTTCAACCACATGAAACTGAGAGAGATCTTATTCTCGTCAAGAAAATAAGGGGTCATGCCCCTCTTGTATAAATAACATTGCAAAATTTTTAGACACCTCAAGAGGGTGGTACACAATGTGTGACAAATGTCTCCTATACAAATGAAAACGCACAGACAAATACCCTGTGCCATTGGAATTAGACTGCAAAGGGTTGAGAGCCCTATGGGATTCGATAAAATTATGGAAGACCAGTGCACCCTTCAGTAGAGGTAAAAAGGAAAATGTCATCTACCACCTGCATTTAAACAATCCACTAACAATTTATCAGTTTTGTTCTCTTAAATAAACGGATTGACCCTGTTATTGGATCCTAGGGGCAAAAAAGATCCATCCATATTTGAATCATCACTATCAAATGCAGAGCTTTCCCACCACTGCAAAGTGCAAACCATTTGATCTTACGAAAAGCCTACAACTACCATGTATATGATTAAGTTTAGCTTTCAAAATCACTTTACTAGGCCTGCCTATTAGAAGCAGATGAAAATGCAGCTTGCTCATTTTGAATTATGACATCTCTAGAACTCAGAAACCAAAGAACTCAAATGGATATGCCTATATGGTTGAAGATACCATCTGACAAGCAGCCTACTAGAAGATAAAACAGAAAGACCACAAAAGAATAAGTACGTATAGCTTGGAAAAATGGTTTGGCAAGTGCTATACCAGAAGATTTGGTGTTGCAAGAGTGGTGATCTTCATCTTCCTTCTGATCATCAACAATGTCAGCAACAGCACCAGGAGTTCCCTCCAAGAGATTATGAAGAACTTCCCTCTTTGACAAGAGAATCCCATTACCTGCCTGATGAGTTCCAAGAGTGACTAAAGTTAGCAGGAAGTGAAAATAGAGAAAATAAATATATTAATAAATAGAATCCAGGCCATCCTGCACATATTTGTAAATATGAATTCAGTGGCAGCTAAGGCCTACACAACCTCACAACCTGGTAAATCAGCAGTGCATGATTCAAGAGGCTTACAACATAGAATAAGCACAAAGGTAATGCTCACCTCATAGAACAACTCAACAGCTCCACGTATATAGGCCCGCTCTTTGTCCCATGGCAACCGGGAGCAACTTTCTGAAAATAAGTTTCAAAGCTAAAGAGAAGGCAAAATAATTGATATGCTTCGAGGACAAATACCTTGAGGGCCTGTTTAGATGCACCTGTTAGCACTACTAATTCACTTATTTTATGACAAGCATATATTTGTGTTTGTAATGTATCTTGTGAAATTATTAGCGATAAGCTTATTTGAATTTTTCCAAGATAACTTAATCCATTTAAAAGGAAGTTTTTAATTTAGTCATATAAAGTCATCCAATGTCAGGGCTTCGGTTTTGGGAGGAGAGTGAAAGTCCCGAGTTTCGAGAGAGAGAGAGAGAGAGAGAGAAGGGTGTTGTCCATTTGGTTTTCGGCAGAAGCAAAGGTCCCCTGAGTTTAGAGAGAGGAAGGGGTGTTGTTCCATCTTTGCTCACATCGATCTAATCTGTTCCTCCTTTTCTCCATCCAATGTCTGCAAGATTACAACCCATTTCTTTAGAGAGAAGAAGCTTGATCGAAGCATTCCTAGCCCACCAAGCTGCCTTGGTTGCACGCTACAACCCTGATCCCTTCACTGCCCCATAAAACCTCCCTTTTATTGTACCATAACCAGGAATCGAAGCTTTGAACCCTAAAACCCTAGAACTCTTAACAAAAGCCCTAGTTTTTTTTTTTTTTTCAAAACCCTAGATTGGCAAAGCCCAAATTTCTGTAACATGTACTTCAATTTCCATAGACTTCACATGCTTGTCAGGTTTTATTTACATTTAGATTGTCTTAAAGACCCCTCAATTGCTTCCATATCCCAACTTTTTCACACCAAAAGACTCAGAAGTTTGGGTTTTATCCTCTTTTTCTTCTTCTATTCCTCGAACTATGCCTTGTGCTACTATGGAACATGATGGAGGTTTCTTCCAATGAAATCGATGACTTGTGTAGTTCTTAGGTGGTGAAACCAATATAGGAAAAGAAATCATTGCATGTTTTGTTTAAAGAAGCAGTTGGGTAGAATGAGCCTGCGTAAAGGACCTGAAATCAAAAGAAATCAAGGTAATGAGGAAGAAATGGAGGACCAAAAGAGAGAAACTACAGTTTTAAAAGAGAAAAAGGAAGCCCTAACTGAGAAAAATAATCGACTCAAAAACTTTCTTCTCTCTTTAGGAGGACTGCAAATTTACAATAGGACAATGTAAAAACAAGAAGGAAAAGCTACCAACAACAATTAAATCAAGTATAACAGAGAAATATGGACTTAAACATCAAGTTATTTCATTTTAGAGTCATTTGAACAAGGACGGTTAGCCAAACAAGGGATTTGGGGTTAGAGAGAGAGAGACTACATACAGGGTTGGAGTTGGATAAAGAGTTAAACTTTTGAATTTCGTATAGAGAGAAGTTGGGTTCTTTCATGGGGTTTTACAGGGTCTATTTAGTGGTAGGGTTAAGAAGAGAGAAGTTGGGTTCTTTCATGGGGTTTTAGAGGGAAAGAAGACGAAGAAAGGGTGGAGAGAAGAAGACAAAAGTTTGTGAGAGAAATTGGGGTTCTTTTGTGGGGATTTAGAGAGGAAATAAGGGACAAAATAGGTTATTTGATGTTGAACGAAGATGAAAATCAGTATTTTTAAAGTGAGAAAGAGAATTACAAGAGTAGGGTTTGGAATGGAAGGTTGAAGATTAGGTGGCAAATTTTCTATATACAGAGGTCAGGGACCAAACAACCAAATAGAAATAATATAATATATTTACAGAACATGAAGTACCTATAGAAATAATATAATATATTTACAGAACATGAAGTACCTACCAAACAGCTAATAGAGTAATATAATGGACAATATATTAAGTTTGAATAAAATAATATGCTACTGATAAAATTAGAGCATGTTTTGATGTACTCATTATCACTGTAAATGATTGTTCAAATGAAATTAATCCTGATAATAAAATTTGGTAGAATCTTTTATAAAGTTATCTGAAATAAACTTATAACCAATTTTAATATAGTTTATCTTTTTCAAAAGTTGTTTCTAGTTTATTCAAAGTAAATTGCTAAAAATTAGCTAAAATAGCTAAAAATAGTTGAAAATACCAAAAAAGTTAAATAATTAAATAATATCATACATAATACAAGGTACATACCAAACAGCCAACAAAACAATGTTATCCAGAATATATTAATTTCAGAGAAGCTAGTCTATTTAAGATAAAATTATTAAAACTATTCGTCATCAAGCAAGCCCTTAACTGCGATCCAAACAAGCCCTGAGAGTACTTTAGTACTGAGAAAACAACTAGAATGTGAACGGATATAATGTCAAGATGAGCTGAGAGCATATCCGTCTCACAGAAGTCCTCAATGAGATCGCTGGACATAACCTCCGCATAAAGAAGAAGAACAGGCCAATGAAGAATATTGCTCTTGTCTAATGTTGCCTTTTTCATTCCAGTGAGTACTTGATACATAGCTTTCCCCATCTTCAGATGCCTACTCTCCATAGCGGAAACCAAATCCTGCATTGCTAGAAAGAACATCAGTGACCATGATAATATTGAAGAGCATCCTTACAAATGTTTTACTCAATAAATAACTAACCTTAGCTGAAGCCAGGGCCTCTGAAACTTGAGCCTTACGCTTTTCATTTTCATTCTGCCTTGATTCGATTTGTTTTGCCAACTTCTTTAGTTCTTCATTTGTTGGGAACTGTTCCAGTCCTCTTTGACAGAACAACAATGCTTCCGCCAACAAATCTAAAGAAAATGTGGCTTTGGCAGCTCGGTAATATGCCTGGTCAATCAAACAAAGCTTACAAGCCATTTTTTCAATGTGTATAAGAAGTCACAGAACATGAAGTAAATAGCATCGCCAAAATGTAATCTATTTCAAAAGGAATTATGAAGAAATAAGATCCATAAGCATATGTAGTTATATAATAAAAGGTAGGGACAGAGCTGAAACCGGAATAATAGCCATCTAAACACATGCCTTAGTCACCTAATAGCCATATGCCTTGACCTTGAAGCCAGAAGTCTTGGGAGAAAAGTCACAAGAGCCCCAAGTAAGAAGAGATAGGGCCCTCATGGCAATCTTAGCTAAAATACAGAACTTTTTCCCCAGGATGGCTAGACCAGATAAAGCTAATTTGGGGTCGTGACCCTCACATGGTTTGTTGGATCTATCATATACTCACGTGGTATGACAAGGAAGATATGTTGCACAAAGAGTGAAGCTGCACCTGGAACCCCGAGATCGCAAGCTTAGGCTTGGCTGGTAGTGTTTTTTTTTTTTTTCATTGGATAGCCATCTGAAATTGTTTATCAGAGCCCATAGGTTCGCTCATGTCTTCTCCTTTCTTACCGCAGTGAAGCATGGTGAGCAAACAAGTTTCGCAAAAATGCCAGTCTACATGTTTGCCAATGAGGTAATCACTCAATTTGATTTATATGATGAAAGTAAGCAAAATAAATTCACCATTTCCATAGTAGCACATAAAGGAAGAAATCACTATTCCTTCAAAAATCTACAACTGGATAGCTCTCTTAAGGAAGAAGATTTTGATGATACTACTTTGGGAAATCTCAAATGGGAAAGTGCCCCCTTTCCCATAGATGAAATTGTTAAATGGGGAAGAATATTTCCAGACTTCAAAAGAAAATATGCATATTATAAATTAGTATATATCAGAGAGGAAGGGCTCTTTGGAAATTGGTACTGTCCAATTTTTAAAACCATTTGTAAAAAATTACCCGCTGAAGATATAAAGAGTGCTAAAAGTCCTGCTGAAAGGTCATCTTCGATAAAAAGAAGGTTCGATGAAAAAGCCTCTTCTTCCTCTTCTTCTAAAAAGGCGTTACGCTCAAAATCATATCCCAAATACCCTCCAAGATTTGAGGAATATGCATAAATGATGGCAGAAAAAGGCGAGTTGCTTGAAAAAGAATTTGATCCTCATATGCCTTTATCTCAAACTGGTGAAGAAACCCATGATCCTCAATGGCTAAATGACTTTCTAGAAGAAGAGCTTGAGCAAAATGAGCTTCCTAAATACTCAGACCATCTAGTATCCCAGATGAAAATACTAAGATCTTGATCTTCCTCAGCCTCTTCATCAGAAACCCAAAACATGACCCTAAAAAATCCAAAATCCCTATCCAATTCAGCCTCCTCTGTTTCCTTACATTCTTATGTTTGTGTCTTAGACAGTCAAGGTAATGTCAGTTTCCCTGAGGTCAGTAAGCAAGATTTGTATAATATTTCTCTATTTGAGTTTAGATTTTCCAGGTCGGTTTGCCAGTTTGAAGACAATCTCCATTTCAAAAATGAAGGAATTTGTCCTGTACTTTTACCTTTCTTTGAAAAATCAGATATTGAAAGGTTGAAAAATAAGAAATATCAATATGTCCATATCGGGAAAATAGATATTCTTGTTCACCCACACTTCAATTATAATTTAGGAGCAAAATATTTAATTTCCCTTTAAGATATTAGATATTTAGAATGAGAAAAAGCCTTGGTTTGTCAATTTAAGGGATGTTTGGACAAAGATAGTATCTGCACAGTTTTTCCAAACTTTTTTTTGAGATGAGTTTATTACCAAAGTTTCCATGGTCTGTATAGAAGTAAAAAGAGTAAATCATTTACCAGGGTCTGTGTATACTACTATAGCATCTAAGTGTATTTTTAATTTAACAAGTTCCACGGTCATCTGTTCAAAACTACATTATGGTGTCAAATTACCTCAAATTTCAAATTTTGTGTCTGAAATTGGTCCCTCAGTAAATACTGAAAGCTTCGTAACTAGTTTTCCTGCTATTTTTTAATATTTTGAGTCTCATCAATATCAAAAGACAAAGCCAGACTTCAAAATGTTGTTCATACAGAACACCAGTAAAATAGTCCACCATCACCCTAAAACCTATAAACAAAACCTTTCAGACTAGCCAAAGAAATACTTTACCCCCCATTCTTCCAGTTATCAATACTGATACCATAACGGGGAGAGAGGTGAAGAGAGTTTAGAGAAGAGAAAAAAAATAGAAAAATCTCAATGAGAGAAGTCTCAGTGAGAAAGGAAAGATTTTAGGGACTCAAAGAGTGATGAGGACTTAGAAAGAGAGTCCAAAGAGGATTCTATTTATAGAGAGAGGGTGTAAAGCGGTTCTAAAGAGGACCACAAAAGAGTTTATAAAGATAATAATGAAAAGAATACGTAAAAAGAAAGAGGTTAGGGGCTTAAAATGAAGTACAAAGATGCAAGAACCAAGCACAAAAAGGTTTTACTAAAGGGGTGCTCAATAATTGAAGGGAGAGGTAAAGGGAGAGAGTTATACAAAGGACTTTAAGAAGTGTAGAGAGAATAATTATTTTTTGGGATTTTGAGTAAGAACTTAAAGAAACACAAAGAGATATAGAGAGAGAGAGATTTAAAGAGAACAAAAGGGAAGCAGAGAGATAAACAGAATCCTTTATTTTTCTTATTTTTATAAATAAGGAAACCTAGTAAGGCAAGTAACAGGAAGGTAGAAAGCAAATAAGTGACAAGCTTGACAAAGAGGGTGAGTATTGTGCTCAACCGCCAACAATTCAACAAGATATCCTTTTAAAAGCTGCGACTTGCTGGCTCTCACGATCGGATTAGCTACCAGAACCGTTAACAACACCTCACGGTGTTCCTAATCGATATTACTTTCACAGTGAAAGAGAACTTCAATATCCCGAGTTTCGTCAGGGAACGGGTTGACGAGTCCACCAAAGGGCTATTAGAGCACGATGACTCTACTGGGTTTGGTTACCCAATTAATTTGCAAGCAACAAACTCAACTTCACTTCTGATTTATTTCACACAAAAGGGTTACATATTTATAATGAAACATAGCCCGACATACCACATAGTACTTTACAAAACCATGGGCTAAACCATTGACGAAAAGCAAAACCATACAGTACCTTGATACATCAGTTACATCCACATGTCACTTAAAGCAAATCCATACAGTACCCCAGTACATCATGTACTTCCACATGTTACTCATTTTTACATCCACTTGAAAGCAAAAATAAAAGCAACAAGTACAACGCCATAATTACATACACTCGTCACTCACTCTTCCACACATTAAAGAGGTAATAGTAAAATCACTCATAAAAAGTAAATCAACTCTTCATAAAGTAAAACTACTTCAGGAAAATCATGTATAATTTCTTTATGCGATATTTTGAGATGATTCTGGAGACTCATCTGGTAACTTATATTTAATAATGTTGCTTAATTCTTTGTAATAAGTCATACATAATGTCCTCCGGCTTAGAGTTTCTTGCATTTTTTAAAAAAATTTGTAGAAATTGTTTAATAGTTGCACTGATGTCGGTGGCCTTATGCTTGGACGCTTCATTATTATAAAGAATTGCATCTTTATATCTTCAAATAAAACCTTGCCCAGTGAAATTAATCCTTTGAAAATATTTCCATAAATCATTTTCCTAATTTGTATATCCTAATCATTTTGTTTTAAAATCTCTGGCAATAATCATTGGGATATAGTTGTCGTCTGAAAATTAGCAAGGCATCCAATACATTCTTTTCAATAATCCAAGTAATTAATTTGGGTTCTAAGGAAGTCCAACTGAAATTGTTTATTATTATACTGATTCTTCCGGCAGAGGTGAGAAAGCAGATGATATTACGGCAATTACCAGTAGTTGAATTAGTATTTTCTGGTTCAGGAGAAAAATAACTCCTTACCTTTTGACAAAAATTTCGTCTTTCTTCATTATGCTTACCACATTTAAAGAGTCGATCCTGAGAATAAAAGTTTCTCAAATTAAGCTGGTGCAAAACTTTTCGACTCCTCTGGCTGCAGCCAATATTTATTTTTCAACGGGTCAATATTTCAACTCATGCTCCTTGAACTGGCCGTTAGTGTATGCACATATTCTTTCTTTTAGCAAAACTGCCGCCCAATTGTCCGATGATGCATCTGTAGAAAGAATAAAAGAACCTCCATAGACGGGTGCAAAAGGGCGTAGAGATTGTATTTGTGTTTTGAGGCTTCTTAGCTCCTGAGCAGCTTCTTCAAACCATCGAATGGTTCTTCTTTCATATCTTTTACTAATTTTCTTGGTTTTCTCAAAAAACTTGGGAATAAAGTCTCGAACATAATTGAGATGACCAAGAAAATCAATTGATTCTTTAGCGATTTGAAATTTGTCTTTAGAAGAAGAAAGGCCTATTCCATGTTTCTATATAGTTTCTACAAATATTTTAAGATGTTCCTGGATGCTATCTGAAAAGACAACAAAATCATCTATGTAGTTAGCAATAAAATAAGAAAATGGTTTGAATATTGACTCCATCCTCCTCTGAAGCGGTGAGGGAGCGTTTTTTAGTCTTAAGGGCATAACTAGCCATTCATATAATCCTTCAGGAGTAGAAACGGCTGTTTTGTGAATATATTCTTCTTCAATTTTCACTTGATGGTACCTTGACTTACAATCAAATTTTAAGAAAATCCTTTTTTCTCTCAACTATCTATTCTTAACTCTTCCTTATTGGGTAATAGCCATTTGATATCTACTGTTACCTAATTTAGAGGAATATAATTAATTACTATTCTGCCTTTTCCTCTTTTCTCCTCTGAATGATTTCTCACAAAAAAAACTGCACAAGAATAATTTGACTGGGATGGCCTAATTAACCATTTTTCTGTCAATTCTATTATCTACGTTTTCAACTCATCTTCATCCTCTTTATTGCATCTTATAGGCTTACTTTGAAATGGGATATCATG